AGCTTGCCGCGGCGAAATTGAATGCTGAGGAGGCCGTCCGGAGACTTGCTGCGACCGAACGAGAAAGGGACACGGCGCTGGCCGAACAAGAAAGACTCCGGTCCGAGTTGGAGGGAGCGGGACAATCCCGCGGCTCGTATGAAGACGGCTTCGAGAGGGGCCGTTTGGCTGGGTTGCAAGAGTACAACAAGACGGACAAATTCCTGGCTGACATGGACTTGAACGCGGCGCTCGGACTGAACTGGGTTATCCATGCGATGAAGGATAGAGGGAAGACTCTGAAGGACCTCGAGGCTATTCGTGATATCAAATTCAAGCGGCTGGCTCTGCCCGAGGAGATGAAGATTTCGGCCGTGATCGCGGATGACGATGAGAAAACCTATGACAGCCGTCTGATGGACTCCGCCTTTTCCAAATCCTCCGCGGATACGACCAGGGCCGGTCCGAGCCACCTTCCCGACCGTCAAGGCGAAGGAACGGGCGAGAATGATGAGGATGCTGGGAACGGACAGCCACCCCCCGTTTGACTTTCGATCACTTTCTAGTTGCTATTTCTGTTTTTTCTTTAAGTATGTTTGCGTATGTTGCTTGCTGTTTTGAACAACTTATTTTAATTTACATTTCCGAATGTTGGTGTGTTCCGAGCCCGGGGATGGTTTATTCCCTGTAGGGTTCGGGTATTTGTGTGATTTCCCTATGTATGGAAAATGAACTAAGTGTGGTATTTTATGTTTCCGTCGCTTAATGTCTTCATGCCGCTTCAATCTTGATCGGACAACTTTAAGTGATCCGGTCGTTACCCTACTTGGGGTCATTAGATTTTTGATCGGACGACCTTAAGTGGTCCGATACCGGGCAACTTTAAGTGGTCCGGTTGTTACCCTACTTGGGGTCATTTTATTTTTGATCGGACGACCTTAAGTGGTCCGATACCGGGCAACCTTAAGTGGTCCGGTTGTTACCCTACTTGGGGTCATTTGATTTTTGATCGGGCGACCTTAAGTGGTCCGATACCGGGCAACCTTAAGTGGTCCGGTTGTTACCCTACTTGAGGTCATTTTATTTTTGATCGGACGACCTTAAGTGGTCCGATATCGGGCAACCTTAAGTGGTCCGGTTGTTACCCTACTTGGGGTCATTTGATTTTTGATTGGACGACCTTAAGTGATCCGATACCGAGCAGCCTTAAGTGGTCCGGTTGTTACCCTACTTGGGGTCATTTGATTTTTGATCGGACGACCTTAAATGATCCGATACCGGGCAACCTTAAGTGATCCGGTTGTTACCCTACTTGGGGTCATTTGAATTTTGATCGGACGACCTTAAGTGATCCAATACCGGACAACCTTAAGTGGTCCGGTTGTTACCCTACTTGGGGTCATTTTATTTTTGATCGGACGACCTTAAGTGGTCCGATACCGGGCAACCTTAAGTGGTCCGGTTGTTACCCTACTTGGGGTCATTTGATTTTTGATCGGACGACCTTAAGTGATCCGATACTAGGCAACCTTAAGTGGTCCGGTTGTTACCCTACTTGGGGTCATTTGATTTTTGATCGGACGACCTTAAGTGGTCCGATACCGGGTTAAGTGGTCCGGTTGTTACCCTACTTGGGGTCATTTTATTTTTGATCGGACGAGAATACTCTTTATTGATAATACTTCTTCAAATACATGGCATTCCGGGGATACATCAGCGGGGTTCCGTCTAAGTACTTCAATCGGTAGGCCCCATTCTTAAGTACGACGTCAACTTGATACGGTCCTTCCCATTTTGGTTTTAGGGGACCCGGATCCGGTCCCGTCACTCTCTTCAAAACCAGTTCTCCCGCTCGGTAGAGACGAGAATTGACTCTTGCGTCAAAGTGTCTTTCGGTCACCCGTTTGTATGCTGCGTTCTTTAGTTCGGCTTGCGTCTGTGCTTCTTCTATTAAATCCAAACCCGTTCGCAATCCCTCGCTATTCGCTTCCTCTTCGAAATTCTTTACTCGATACGTTTCGGACCCGATCTCGACCGGGACCATTGTCTCTGCCCCGTATGCTAACGAGAACGGTGTTTCTCCCGTCGCCGATCTTGGTGTGGTCCGATATGACCACAAGACGTTCGGGAGCTCCTCCGGCCAGGCCTCTTTCGAGCTTTCCAGTCGTACCTTCAAACCTTGTTTAATAATTTTGTTGACTGCCTCGACTTGCCCGTTGGACTGCGGATGGTAAGGGGTAGATAAATGATGTCGAATCCCCAGCTCTTCACAAAACGTGCCAAATTTCTTTCCCTCAAACTATCGTCCGTTATCAGTTACCACAGAATGGGGAATACCAAATCGGCAAACGATTAATTTCCACAAAAAGTCGACCATCTTCTGCTCGGTTATCATGGCCAAAGGCTCGGCCTCCGCCCATTTAGTAAAGTAATTGACCGCTACGACTGCGTATTTGACTCCTCCCTTGCCTGTAGGTAAGGGTCCGATTAAGTCGATTCCCCACTTGGCGAACGACCAGGGGCTGAAAACTGAGGTAAGCGGATGAGCCGACTGCTTTAAGTTAGGGGCGAACGTTTGGCACTTAATACACCTCCTGACTAGGTTAAACGTGTCCCTTTTCAGCGTGGGCCAGTAATACCCCTGTCGTAGTATTTTGTGCGCCAACGCTCGTCCCCCCGAATGGTTCCCGCATACGCCCTCGTGGACTTCTCTCATGCCTCGTTCGGCTTCTTCGTCGTCCACACATTTGAGCAAGGGATTCGAATAGCCCCTCTTGTATAACGTTCCTGCCATGATCGTGTATCTTGCCGCTCGGATCCTTAATGACCGAGCACCCTTGAGGTCTGCGGGAAGCTCTCCCTTCTCTAAATATGATCGGATCGGATCCATCCATCCGGATGTTGTGGCACCGACCGATTCTTCAATCCTCATGATTTGCTCGACCTGAACGGCCGGCCTCTCCTGATGGCGAGTGTATACGTACTCGATTTTGTCAGTTCCTCTGCTGGATGCCAACCGTGCAAGCGCGTCCGCTTGGGCATTCTCTGACCGGGGGACGTGCACGAGCCGAATGTTCGCTCGCGCTATCTTCTTCCGAGCTAGGTGTAAATATGTCACCAGGCGGGCTTCATTTGTCTCGAACTCCCCTGAGATTTGCTTTCCTAACAACATTGAGTCTGAGTATGCTTTTAAATTCGTGATGTTCATCGAGTGGGCCAAGTCCAGGCCGGATAATAGTGCCTCGTATTCTGACTCGTTATTAGTTGCGGCAAACAGGTATCGGACCGAATGGCAATATAGCTTTCTTTGGGGGCTGACGATCACGACTCGTCCCCCAGATCCTTCGGTTGTGGCCGATCTGTCTATATACATCTCCCAAGTCTCTGTAGTCTGGACTGGTTCGGCTTCCGTTGTGAACTCGGCTATGAAGTCGGACAATGCTTGTCCCTTTATCGCCGTCCGTGGTTTATATTGGAGATCGAACTGCCCAAGCTCTACGACCCACTTGATCATTTGTCCCGACGTATCAGGCTTGTGGAGAATTTGTCGAATAGGATAGGCTGACAAGATGGTCACCCGGTGTTCAAGGAAATACGGCCTGAGTTTCCTCGAAGCCGTCACTAGGGCGAAGATTAACTTCTCGATCTATGGGTAACGGACCTCAGCTTCATGTAATGCATTGCTTGTGTAATAGATCGAATGTTGATTCAAATTCTCCTCCCGAATGAGTACGACGCTTATCGCGGTCGGGGTAACTCCGAGGTATAGATACAACATCTCTCCAGGGTTTGGCTTTTGGAGGACCGGGGGCCGAACGAGCGACTCCTTGATGTTGTCCAGCGCGTGTTGTCATTCGTCCGTCCATTCAAATTTTTTATTCTTTTTAATAGCCTCGAAGAAAGGCTTACATTTGTCTGTGGACTTTGATATGAATCGGCTTAAAGCTGCTAATCTACCCGTTAGACTTTGCGTTTCTCTTATCGACCTAGGGGGTTTTAGTTCGAGTATTGCTTTAATCTTGTCGGGGTTCGCTTCGATTCCCCTTTGACTAACTATGTATCCTAAAAACTTACCCGAACCTACCCCAAATGAACATTTTTTGGGATTTAACACCATGGAGTAATCACGCAAAATAGAAAACATTTCATTGAGATGTGAAACATGATCGTTCGCAAAAACAGATTTAACAAGCATATCGTCCACGTAAACTTCCATAGTTCGTCCGATTTGATCTGCAAACATCCTATTCACGAGCCTCTGGTAGGTTGCCCCGGCATTCTTGAGACCGAATGGAATCATGGTGTAGCAATAGAGTCCTCTGGCCGAATAGAAAGATGTGTACTCCTCATCGTTCGGGTCCATTGGGATCTGGTGATATCCCGAATAGGCGTCCATGAAGCTCATGAGTTCGTGTCCGGACGTCGCGTCTACCATGTAATCGATGCTGGGCAACGGATAACTGTCTTTGGGGCAGGCCCGATTGAGATCGCTGAAGTCGACGCATAGTCGCCACGTCCCACTGTTCTTCTTTACCAGGACCGGATTGGATACCCAAACCGGGTACTTGGCTTCGCGAACGAACTTGTTGTCAATCAGCTTTATTACTTCTCCCTTGAGCGCTCCTTGTCGTTCTGGTCCCAACTTCCTCCTTTTCTGCACGATTGGCTTTACCGTTCGATCAACCCGAAGGCTATGGCATGTTAAGTTTGGATCGATCCCCACCATATCTTCATGCGTCCAGGCGAAGACATCTGCGTTTTCGATTAGAAAAGTAATTAACCTGGACCGGATGAGTTTGCCCATGTTGCGTCCGATGCGTAATGACTTGGTGCAGGCTGGTTCATCAAGATAGATCGTCTCCATGTCTTCGCTTGGTTCGGCCCGTTCGGATTTCTTTCCTTTAAATTAGTCTCGGGGATCCAGCTCGTCTTTTTCTTCGATTGGTTCCTTCCCTGGTCGGCGTCCCCGGTCTACCGTTTGATTCTCCTCATCGCACGGATTGTTCTCTTTTTGGGTGGACTTCTGGTTTTGTTCTCCTTTTGGGTCGGTTTGATCGGCCTCCGATTCTTTCACAGCCTTTTTGCCCTGTCCGTCTCTCGGGGGTGAAGGCGTGTTTGCGTTTGATGACGTCAGCATAGGGTATTTGTCTTCCTCTTCTGGGCCCTCTATCGGTTCTTCACTCATCCTCTTTTGTTCGTTCGTGTATCCTTTGGCCGCACTGTTGTCCGACCGTTCGGACGAAACTTCCTGCTCGTCTGACTGTTCGGGCTCTACAACTGACTCGACGATCAGTTTCTCCTCCTCGTTCGCCATCATGACTGAGTGTATTTCTAATGACGGGATCGCCATGATGCACTCCCTTACTTCCCTTTGGTTGCCGTAGTGGACTCCCGTGCCATTCTCAGTTGGGAATTTGATCGAATAATGGAAGATTGATACGGCCGCCTTCAGCTTGTATAAGGCCGTTCGCCCGAGGATGGCGTTGTACTCGCTGGCCGTTTTCACCACTTTGAAAGTCTCCATGATCCTGCGTCCGTTTGCTCCTGATCCCCCGAGCTCGATCGGTAATGTGATTTCTCCTTCGGGAATGGTTGCCTGTCCGTTGAATCCAGTTATGTGGTCGTTGCATGGGCGCAGTTCGCTTTGGTCTATCCCCATTTTAAGGAATGCGGTCCAGTATAAGATACTTGAATACGCCCCCGTGTCCACCATGATTCGGTGGACTGGGATTCGGAAAATGGGGGCTGTGATTACGAGCGCATCTGAGTGTGGATTATCAAACGGGAGAGAATCTTTATCCGAAAACATTATTAGATTTGTGGGCATGGGAATGTGTCGGTTGACCTCCGCTCGACTGACTTGGTGTCCTGTGCTGTATGCTTTTTGGACGTATGGCTTGACTTGTCTTCTTGACACGCTCGAACTTTCCCGGCTCGTATTGACCCTTGTGGGCGGTCCGCTTCTTCGGATTGGGATGTGAACCGAATGTTCCTCGTCTCGTCTGGACACTGTCCTTTTCCTTCCCCCGGATGCGCTCGTCTCGCCTCGTTGCTCCTGACTGATTGTCAAGATTTCATTGTGATGTTCGTTCGCTCTCCGCGGATTCAGTCCGAAATCGGGCTCGTCTCCTGGGTTCATTCGTTCATCGTTTCTTGGCCTCCGGTTGCCTGCATCCATCCTAGTGAACCTCCTTACCTGCGGATCATCAATTAGTTTCAACAAGGCAGATATTAAGTTCCGACACTGGTCGGTATTGTGGCCATGCGATTTGTGGTAAGCACAATATCGGCTTTTGTCTAAATTCTCTTCATCGACCCTGATCGGTTTGGGGTCTGGGATGATCCCCTTTTTTTCAACTCTTCATACACTACGGCCGCTCCGGCCGAATACACCCCCTGGTAGCTGTTCGTGAGTTCTTCGTGATGTTTCCTCTGCATGGCTCGGAATTGGGAGCTTCTTCCGTCCTTCGCAAACTCCTTGTTCGGTCGGAATTCCTTTGCTTTGGTGGTTTGCTCGTTTAAGGCTGGGAATGACGGGACGGACATGTTTTCTTCTGCCATGATATGTTGTTGAGCTTTCATCAAGAATTCGTGATACGTCTGAGGTTTGTTTTGGCAGAGGATCCATTTGAACATCGAGTTTGGTCTCAGTCCTGAATATGCCGAAACGAGCAGGGTCTCCTGATGGCACGGTTCCATGTTTTGTACCCGTTCGTTGAAACGAGTGATGTAATTCTTCAAACTCTCGTCTGCTCCCTGGATAATGTGAGTGATCGATTCTTTGGGAATTCGGCACGCCTGGGATCCGATGAAGTGGGCTCGGAACATGGACTTCAACTGTGAGCACCTAGCGACCGAATGTGGGGCGAGCGAATGGTACTATCTTTGTGCTTTTTCTCCCAGAGTTAATGAGAACATCCGGCAGCGGAGGGCGTCCGGTGCTCCGTGCAGGTCCATCCATGACGTGTATAATCCTAGGTGGGTGTCCGGGTCAGATGTTCCGTCGTAAAATCCGATCTGTGGGATCTTGATCTTCTAGGGCAGCTGTTCCTGCAAAATATCAAATGTTAGGGGTGATTCGGGTTCGGTTGGGCTGGACTCTGTTCGTGCCCTTGAGGTTGTCGTGGCTCGTTTGAGAGGGACTTCCGTCAGATCCTGTCCGGTGGAAACTAGTCGTTTTTGGGCCGAACGCCGAGCTTCGAGTTCGGCTATTCTTCTTCGGAGGCTCTTCATTTCGTCTTCTTCGGCTTGAGTCGTTCGCCTTCTGGTCAATGTTCTCCTCAAGTCGTCGTCGGCCATGTTTTTTCCCAGCCGTCTGAAAACCGACCGGGTGGTGTTTCGGGTTCGAGTGTCCGTGACCGAGCGACTTTCGTCCGTCTGTTCATTTCCCGTCCGGGTGGTGGATTTTTTCTTCGTGCTCCCGGGCGACCGGGTGGTTTCTTCACAAACGTTCGCTTCCTTGCCTTTGAGGGTGTTGGTAAGGTCTTTTTTGGCTGGGGTTTTAGGTGCTTGAGACGTAGAGGGCCGGATCTGTGTTATCAGGTTTGATATTCCTTTAACAAAGTTTGGGTCTTTGAAAAAGGCTGAATAGTCCGTCCTCGTGGTTGGATTGTTTCGCCGGTCCTCCCTTTCTTCCGGTGAGTCTTTCCGACGACTCTGGCTTGATGATGATGAAGTTGTCTTTGACATGCTGGAATAGCCCTTCCTCTAGCGCCAATTGTTGATGTCTAAAAATGACCAACAATGTGTTCGAACTGTACACTAAGATGTGTACTCTGTTCGGTCTGCACGAACAGAATTTATGTTTGTGATTCAGTTTAATTTTACTGGTCCGAATGCTCAGTCTATCCGTGACTTATTGAGTAATTAATGAGAGCATTTACTCATTGCATTAAATGATGTCTTCCCATCCCTTTTATAGGAAGTTTAGGGACTTTACATTTCCCTCTTGGGGATTTTTACATTTCCTTTTTACAGGATATTTTTAGATATTATTCATTCAACATTTAATGCTAATTGTACTTGATAATCTTTTCCCAATATCTGAGAGTCGTCCGGATCGTGCCACGCGTCCCTATTTTTCCTTTTCTGTCGGATAAGAGATTTTTATGTATCTTCGCATTTAATGCGCGCAGTACGACTGGCTCTTGTAATGATTAAACATATCTCGCTTATTCTCTCCCATCCGTTCGGCAGCGGCTCGATCCCGGGGGCATCCGGTTCCTTCATTTTTCTTACCACCATTCGTTCGGTCTGTACCACCAACACTTTGATCGGTAATGGTGGCTAACGGCTCGACCTCGGTCCATTCTGTAAAATAGTCAACGACCATAACCGCATATTTGACTTCGCCTTTAACAACCGACAAGGGACCAATATGATCAAACCCCTGTTTAGTGAAGGACCAGGGGCTGAATACTAAAGTAAGTGAGCGGCTTGACTGCCTTTGTTGGGGAGCGAAGAATTGGCAGCGATCACATTTTCGAACTAGTTCAAGAGTGTTTTTGTAGAGTTTGGATGATCTATTCGTTAGCTATTTCAAGAGCTAGCTTAGTGTAATGTTCAATGATAACATACTCAATCTGATCGACACTGGTTCAAAAGGCGAGGCGGGCCAATGCATCGACCTGGGTATTTTCACTTCGAGGAATGTGACGAAGATCGTCTTAAAATGAAGAAGCCTATTCTTTTCCAAGTTATAATAAGGGCTGGGCCGGGGCTATTTTAACTCGAATTCTATTTGAGATTTTGATTGAAAATCAAGAGAGAATCGCTAAGTATTTCCAGTTATCATATTCCTATAGATCAGACCATATCTAGCTCGACGTTGAGGGCCTCATGTTCAGCTTCATTGTTAGTAGAAGGAAATTTCAATCGAATCTCCAAGTAGAATAATTTTTTGTTGGGGTTAATAAGGATGATCTTGACCTCGGCTATGCTGAGGATGTTGATCCGTCGGTGTAAAGGGCCCATATTTTACTATTGAGAGTACAAGAGATCGTTAGGGTAAATCCGAGTAGGACTTGCCCTTTAATTGTCGTTCGAGGATAAAAATAGGTACCAAATTGCCCTAGTTTGACGACCCACTTGATCATATGTCCAGAAGAATCTGGCTGATGCATGGTTTGCTTTAGAGGATTTCCCGTTAACACATGAATGGAGTGCTCGAAAAAATAAGAGCAGAGCTTCCTGGACGAGATGAAAAGGGCATAAGTAAGTTTTTCCACTAAAGTGTACCTCAGTTTGGTAACGTGCATGGCGTGACTGACATAGTATATGGGTGTTGTATGCCTTGAACTTCATATAATAGTGTGGAACTGATCGTCATATTAGATACAACAGGATATAAGTAAAGAGTTCCTTTAGGCGTCAGTTTCTAAAGGATCGACACTGGTGTGCAAAAGACCTCGATCTGGCATGCATGACCCAAGTCCGTTTCTTGACCTGGTCACAGTCATGCAAAATGGTCCGAGAGGGATTCCCATCGTTATGTCTCCGATGATCAAGTTAGTCCACAGTGATGAAGAAGACGATAGACAATAAACATATGTTTTGCAAGTATAAAGAGTGTGTAGAGTGTAAATAAACATTCCTTACCCGTTTATATAACAGTGTTACCTTATTGCCCAAAATTTTCCAGATGGGCTACCTGCTTGTCCAAACTAGCCGTTTTTTTTACCCGGGTGCACGAACTTTCCAATTCTATTAGGACACATGGTCCAATCCACTTGTAGTTCTTATCTTAAATATATTCCTTCTTATCCATTAGTCTTTCTTGTTAGACACTCTAATCGTGAGATCGTCCCAGAAGTTATAGAGGTCAGTGTGTCCTCGACCCTCACCATCAACCCTGACAGAGTCGTCATCATTTTATACCTAATGAAGGTCCTCCCCTTAGTTGAAACCTAGCATTGAGGTTGAATCAGCATGGTCGAAGTGACTACTTGGCGAAAATTGTTTATGTACGTTTTATTCTTATTCTTCAATTTCTTGTCGATAAGTTACTTAGTGTGAGAATACATAAACCGTCTTTTCTTTTTTGTAGATCATATCTTTCGTGGTCCTCATGCTCAATGAGGATCTAGGCGACTACAACTCTCTTGTCAAGGACCTCCTAAAAGGCAACAGATAGCTTTGCCAGGAGAATCTGCAGCTCTTCAAGCACCAGTTCGACCTCAAGCAAGAGTTGACAAAGGTCTCTCGCCAACATGTCGATGACCTTCGAGAGAAATAGGAGCTGGCTGCTGAGGTTACTTGTCGTGAGGAGGAGGTCAAGTCCGTCAAGAACATCAGCAATGTGCAGGGTTGATAACGAATGAAGCGAAGTTCAGTCATAGAGGAAGTTTCGAAGTCAAGTTATACTTATTCATCTTCAATATGGATGGAATTTTTCTCAATGCCTTCCTCGAGCAGGTTCTGGAGGACTTCATTCCATCTTCCAGCTTTCTCGCTAAGCTCGTCCCCGCTGTTGATCAGTTCTTCAACTCCGCCTTGGATGGGTCAAGGAACAGCTGAAAGCCTCTAGTTTTGGGGCTTATAGATCGTAATGCCATTGCAGAAAAACTCCACAATTACCATGATGGCTATGAGGGTGAGTTCGAGCTTCCTCTGGACCACACATGGCGGTTGAGAATTTTTGAGTGCATCCTTACTCGTGAAGGCCTCGAGAAAAAGCTCGCACTGCCGCCTCTAGTTGTGGTCTCTTCCCTAGAGTGTCAAACTTCTAGAGCTCAAGCTGCTGCCATGTCGAGGCCCGAGGGTATTGTTGGATTCGCTACACCGTACGGGGTAAAACACAACGAAAATTAAACGAAATAAACAAGCATTTATCTAATAGATACTAAACCCCTCAGTTCACGTAGCGATTGTAACGATCGACATCTTTTAAAATCAGGTAAAAGTACGAATTTTGATTTGTAGAGAATTTTGAAAATACCTCTTAATTTTCTTCGTAAAGCGACGATGAAGAGGAAATCAATTCCTGGTTCTGGGCTATCACCGTATGTTTTGCCATAAGGGATCCACGTGTCTCCCCACTAATCAAGTCCACCTTTTTCATTCCGACTCCAAGAATATTTTCTTCGCTAGTAGAAATTTTCGGTATTGAATTGATATAGGAATACAAATAAGATAGGAGCTTTTTTTTTTTTTT